CTATTTTTTTAAGTCAAATTTAGGAGACGGTCGAGATAAATGAGTATTAATCAGGTAATCTAAATTTTGAAAAGAATTCTCTTTTAGTTGAAACGTAATTGATTTTTTTATTGTTATATTGAAATGAAAGTGGGAATACGCGAATGTAAATATTGACAACTCTTTTCACAATTCGTAAGACAATTTTGAATAGTGCATGATAATGCTTTAGCAAGTTGCATCCTCGCACCTCTAGGAATTCTTTTAACCACTGGTACGTTACTATAAAAATTGTATAATTGTTCCGAAAAAAGTGAAAAATTTGTGTCATTAGGGATATTACTAAAAGAGTCAAAAATTTCTACGGTAGGCTGTGCAGCCGAAATAATTTTACTATGGCATCGTTTAATGTGTATATTTAATCCCTTTTTACCTTTAAACAGCCTACCGTCGGTACAATTTTGAAACCGTAGTAAATCCGGCTGTGAATGTATCGGAGCGTTAGTATTCATTGAAAAAGTAAAAAAGAAAAATGTAAAAATATATCTACAGCACTCAAAGGTCTATAATTTAGTATAAATTAAAATCTTGAGAATAGAAATAAAATAACCTAGTTCTCGAGCTTTGTTTATCGTCTTGAAGCAATCTAATATTAATATTGTGTACGATGAATCACCAAGCGTTGTATCTTGAAGTGACCTATAACTATAACTGATTACAGTTGACGGTTTCGAAGTTTCTTTTGGTGACAAACTCAAAAATAAAACACTAAAGCATTCCTATAAAAACGCGGCATTGGTTGTTTTCTTGGGATCAAAAGAAGAGTAGTGAACACTGATTTCGTTATTTTGACGTTGTTCTATTTTCTCAATTAATATTCTGCAGTATTTGTAAACACAACCAAGATTTAAAGTTTCGAAGATAGAATAATAGTTTTCATAAATTAATTCATAATCTATACAAAAATAATGTATGCCAGCAGTACTCTTTATAGTTCTCCCAGGCCTTACTGTTGCAAAATACAATATATTCTTGATGTATTCGGCCATAAACAATATATCGGTATTTCGTGTCATCACTTCAGGCAAACGAATCATTTGTCATCCGCACTCCTATTATGGCACTCCTATTACCGCATTTGTTATTTTTGAGAAGAATCACATCTGCCCTTAATGGTAGTGAAGAAGAAGGAAGGAAGGAGGAAGGTAAAATATATTATAAAAAATAGTTATAGACAGGAAATAAATGCTTAACAGTCTTTCTTGACATAAGCCTTTGATAGTGTCTATGTCCCCGCTCTAGTAAAGAAACTTGAACAAATAGGCATACGAGGTAAACCACTAGATTTATTTAAAGATTACTTAACAGACCGTAGACAACGAGTCAAAATAGGAGAGCATTGTAGTCATGATGCTACCATTACCTACGGTGTCCCACAGGGGAGTGTACTGAGTGCGACTCTATTTTTGGTTTACGTAAACTCCCTATGTAATATGTCGCTACAAAATAGGCACGTGTTCTCGTATGCAGATGAAACTGCTTTGGTATTCTGTGGTCGAAGCTGGGAACACGTCTGTTTAGCCAAGGTTGCAGAGTGGTTGAGACTACATTTACTAACTATCAATACATCTAAGACTAACTGTGTATGTTTTACTAACTACAATAGGACTCAACCTAATTTTGATATTACAATTCATTCTTGTGTTGACCTTAATAACTCTAACTGCTCATGCCCAAACAAAGTATCAAGTACAAAATATCTTGGAATACTATTGGATCAGCGATTATCCTGGCATTTACATATTGAAGTTTCAATGGCTAGGATTAGAAAATTCATGTGGTTTTTCAAAATTTTAAAACATCTCGCAACACCACCTATATTAAAACAAGTATGTATCCTTAGTTCAATCAGTTCTGGTATATTGTGTTAATATATGGGGAGGTGCTAAAAAAACTACGTTTTTAGATTTACAAAGAGCTCAGAGATCATTACTGAAGGTTATGAATTTAAAGCCTTACAAATTCCCAACACAAGATTTATACACATCTTGAGATCTTCTTACAGTTCGCAAGTTATACATATTAAATGTAGTTCAAAAGGTACACAAATCCCTTGCATATAACCCTGAAATTGAAAATAAAAGGAGGAAAACTAACGTAGTTCCAAATGATCCGGTTAAAACAGCATTTGCTAGACGGCAACATGCTAAAAAGTCCTCTTATTTATATAATTACTTAAATAAAGTAACTGTATATGCTGTTCACTGTCAACGCTAGGAGGGTATTCAGCGTGCATTCACTAGGCATCTGGCATTTATTACGCAAGGCGTGTCACACCGGTCACCATATGAGCATCGTCTTGCCTTTTTTTTAAATGAACTCGTTGCGTAGCTGTCGAAGGAATCAGGGTTTGGTGTTTTTGAACGGACTTGTCAACGGCAAAATAAAATGTAATGAGCTCCTAGAACGTGTTAAATTGACGGTGCCTGCTCGCATACCCCGACATCCTATCAAAAAAACTTTTGCCTTGCCTTCTGTAAGGACTAACCTTGGACGCCATTCTCCTCTCGTCAGATGTTGCGCACAGTACAACGAGATGAATATCGAAACATTTGACATTTTCCACTACTCGTTGATTAAATTTAAACGAAAACTGGCCGGCCCTTTGTGAAGAGGCATTTGTTCTTAGTTAAGTTTTTATGTTTTCTTTTTTGGTGAATTTTACTATTTTATTGTTTTTAAATTTTCAGATATATATATATATAGCGATATATATATATATATATATATATATATATATATATATATACCGCTATGGAGAGGGCTATGTTCGGAGTTTCTCTGCGTGATAGACTCAGAAATGAGGATATCCACAGTAAAACCAGAGTGACCGACATAGCCCAACGGATTAGTAAGCTGAAGTGGCAATGGGCCGGCCATATAGCTCGAAGAACCGATAACCGATGGGGAAGAAAGGTTCTCGAGTGGAGTGTAGGGCGACCCCCCACTAGATGGAGTGACGACCTGGTAAGATATGCAGGAAGTCGATGGATGCAGGTGGCTCAGGACCGTGCTTTGTGGCATTACTTGGGGGAGGCCTATGTTCAGCAGTGGACTTGTGAAGGGCTGTGATGATGATGATGATATATATATATATATATATATATATATATATATATATATATATATATATATTATGTTGTTACTTATTATCTTCTGTCAATGTTGTGTAGGCCTATAATGGGTATATGTGTAAGGAATGTACCTTATACATGTAACTCTTATAATATGTATACATGTACTGTTGGTGTACCTTTTAAATAAATAAATAAATAAATGAATATTTATTCTAAAACAAGTAAAGAATGTAAGATAATTCTCATTGAATGGCCAAAATGGAAAGATTATCATGAAATAGAAACTTTGTTATAATAACACGACTTACAAAGCATGCACGCACACATATACAGGCATACGCACACACACACGCACACACACTCGCGCGCACACACACACGCACACACACACACACACACACACACACGCGCACACACACACGCACGCGCATACACACTCATACAACACACCCACACACACACACACACACACACACACACACACACACACACACACACACGCACGCACACACACACACATACACACAATCATGCACACGTATACACTCATGCATGCGCGCGCGCACACATCTTCATATTTTTTCATAATTATTTTAGGAAAGGCATGTTATGCTATTATCGTAACTAAAGTATTGTATGTTAATTAATGAAGAGCGAGTTTTTCCTGCCACAAGTATTTAAAAATACTTCAAAGGAGAACTCTAATATACTACTATGATTGTAAATTTATTGTTACAGAATAAATATGTTTGAATTTTGAATTTTTGAAGATCATCATATCACGTAACATTTCTTCCACCTTTATTCAAATTTTAATCAAAGCGCTGCGTATTTGTTTAAAAATGAAACAAAATAATTTGTTTTGAAATTGCCAATTTCTCAGTTTAACATTTTGAGACTAATAAATTTTCATAGTCCGTTTTAGTACAAGTAAGGACCATTGCAACCGCAACCGCAGCTCCCTCCATAGCTACCTCCGCAGCTACCTCCGCAGCTTCCAGCGATAGAAACAACACCACCAGCTGGAACCTCACCACCGAATCTGACAGCGCCTAGAATAGGCACTTGACCGGCTAATAGGGTAGCACCAGCTACGCCCATTTCGCCAGCGATAGCTACATCACCGATGCCTGAACCTCCATAGGCCGGACCAGCCAAGTAGGATGAGGTGGCCAAGCCAGCGGGACCAACAAGACCGTATCCGAGACCAAGCCCAGGACCGTAAGCCAATTCATTGCCTAAGGCGGATCCGCAACCTAGGCCGTATTCAGCTGCATATCCTGGAGCGTAGCCCAAGCCAAGTCCAGCCCCGAGACATTGGCTGTACACATTCTGGCAATGGAAACAAGTTCTTAAAATACTGATTAAAGCAACTAATGAACTATTAAAAACAATGAAAAGAACAAAAATTTACAATTTAATTTTTTTTTTACATTTAGGTAACTGGTAAAAATTAAAAAAGTACCTGAATCAAGCAAGCTTGAACACAGAACAAAAAAAAAGCAAAGCGAGACATGTCTGAGAATTGTATTTCGACTGTATTAGGGCCGATTTGCTTTCTGCCTTATATATATCGTCAGTTTTATGGCAAACTTCGAAAAATTTCGTAATAGGGAAAAAAACGTGAGATACTGTTTGGTTCAACTACTTTGTTTGTAAGAAGATGGTTTGGAACATTGTATTTTAATAAAATCAATTTTAGTTATTATTTTGGGATAATTTAATTTTCTTTCTTTGTCACGTACACATGTAAGGAAACTTGAATTGCGTGGGATTGCTTCACTAATATTTCAATATAGCCGGACAGCATCAATATCACCAAGAACTATAAAAACCAATCGAACCTTATTGTACTTACACTTGTTTTCAATAAAAAAAGCAAATATGTCTGCCAAGGCTATTATTTTGTTGTGCGCTCAAGCATTCATGGTTCAGGTAAGTAATATTGATTTAAATCTTAACTGTATCAATATTCTTAAAGTCGAAGTTTTAATTTATGCTCAAAACACGAAAGTCTGTTTTTATTCCTATAAATTTTCCTGGACATTTAACAAAAAAAATTTAAGCCGTGCTATTGAGGTAGGATTATCGCATTATCGTAATATGCAAGTGACTGTTAACGTGCTTGGCGATAAAAAACATTAAGTATGTGAAGTCCATTTTTAGGCATGGCATGCTCTTTTTTATACAGATTTCTTTATATATTTTGAGAAGGTACACGATCACCTAAAACATTTTTAAAGCTATTTACAAATTAAATTTTAAGACTCGCATAGTACGCCTACGAGAGACAATCAGCTATTTATAGTGCTAGATAAGATACGTAAAGACGTAGTTTTCATACGTGGTATCGCAACGCTGCAGCTATATTAGTACAGTATTGTAGTATTATAGCACGAACGAGTCTGCTCGACTGGGGAAGGGCCACACTCTCACAGAATACCAGCGTAAAATAACAGCCTAATAATGCTGGGTTTAAATTGTGAGTAGAGAGATCCGGAAACCCTTTTTTACTGGAAACGAGGCATTCCACCTTAGTCGTAAGGGGTGACAACGCATTTCTGTTTTGATTCTTAATCGAGAATAAATGTAGATTTCTACGGGTCACAGCATTCGCTTGCCATTAAGTGGACTGTGTGCTCTTTTGTCACCCTTATTTTATTAAAACAACTTAAGTAATAAAATGTGTCAAAAATGTATTTTCATATCCTCAGAGCATCGCTGCCTACTGCTTGGGCAACGGACTGAGCTACGAAGGTCCAATTAATGCTGGCTCTTGCGGTGGACTAGGCTGGGCTGGTTACGGTGTTGGTTACGGTGCTGATTACGGTGCTAGTTGCGGTCTAGCTGCCATTCCAACAGCTAGCGGCAGTAGTTTCCCTGTCTCGAGCGCGTCTCCCATCCCGCCTGTTGGAGTATCTGTTCTCTCAGAGAACGAGATCGGAGGAATCCTGACTGCAGTTGGTGAGCTGCCTTTCCTAGGCACCGTTGGTCTGGAGGGTGTGCTTCCAACTGCTGGTGCTGGTGCAGTCTCTTACGGCTGCGGCAACGGTGCCGTGGGCATAGTGAGCGAAGACATCGCCGCTTCCGCTTGGGGATATCCATCTGCCGCTGGTCTGGCGTACGGACCTGGCATCGCTGCCGGTATCGGCTACGGTCCTTCTATTGCTGGACGTGGCTTCGGTGGCTGTGGATGCGGTTTCCTATAATAATGTTTCCCATTACCAAATATCACCTGTTGTGTTGCTTTTGTTTTTAAGCATCCTTATCGATAAAATATGAATGAACCAGACACTATAACTTTTAAAACAAAAACATCTTAGGTCTAGTTTCAGCACGTTCAGTATAATACTCTTATTGGTAACTGCCATAGCAATATTGCATAACCGTCTGCTACAATTAAAGAATTTAAGTATTATTAAAAAAAATAAAGATATTTAATTTACAGTAAAATTATTTATTTCGTATTATTCCTATGGGGTTGACGGTAAAATAAACCTTTTCGTAGTGAAACGATCGTATAGTGCATAGGTCCTCTGCTGAAGCTGCGGAGGTAGCTGCGGTTGCGGTTGCAATGGTGCTCACTTGTACTAAAACAAAATATGAAATTTTAATAATAATAATTATAACAAATCATTTTAATTTTCTCTTCACAAGGGTATATAATTTCACATTATTTCTTAAATAATACGGTTGTAGATAATTTTGACCTTTGTGAGAGACTGGTGTCCATACTATGGCAATCCCTGTGTTATAGATCACCAGATCTACTAGAGAGACTAGATTAATAACCTCAAAATGTTAAATTGATAAGTTGGCAACTGAAATAATACTAGTTTTTACGGAATTTATCGCGTGTATTTAACTTTTTAATTATCCGACGTTTCGAACGCTTTACAGCACTCATGGTCACGGGCAGGACTGAGATGTTCAACGTCCATATGTCATAGTTAACCGCGGTTACCATAGATTAAAATTTAACTTTTGTTCCGATCTATGCAGTATGAACTTATTATATCTTGAAGTCTTGCAGTTGTATGCTTGGGTTGGGATTTAATTTTATTTATTATAGGATCCCAAGCAGATGGTAGCACCATCTCCTCTTTTGAAATGAGAATGTCTTTTGATTCCAATAGCCTCGCGAATCATCCTTGGAAGGAATCGGTGTTCTTTAGCGAGGATCTGCGGTCTATCAAATCTGATGTAGTGACGGGGGCGATCCTGTACGTGTTCACAGACTGCAGACTTCCCGGAGCGTCGATTCTTCACATCAGCTATATGTTCTTTAACGCGGGTTTTTATTGATCTTTTAGTTTGTCCTATGTAGGAGAGACCACATTCACAATCAAGCTTGTACACTCCTGCATCTTGCAGAGGGACATTACACTTACAGATTACACCAATCTTCTTCAGCGGCTTGAAGTATGTTTTGATGGAAGCGCGCTTCAAGATGTAGCCAATCTTGTCAGTGACTCCTCTAACATATAGCAGTACAGCAGGTACACGCTCGGCTGTGGCCGGCTTCACTCGTTCACTGTGACGTAGGCGCGGGACTCGAAGCTTGTTGTCATGCAAAACTTGACTAACTTGAAACTACATCTGGCAGACAATGAAACTATGGTCAGTTTTGATGTGCAGTCATTGTTTACATGCTTACCTGTTGAAGGCTGCATCTCAATTGTAACTAGACGGCTGGAAGAAAACAACATGCCCGTAGAATATGCAGTATTACTCAGACACTGCCTTACATCTGGCTACCTATTGTGGAAGGAGGAGTTCTACAAGCAAGTAGATGGTGTGGCGATGGGCTCACCTGTATCTCCCATTGTCGCCGACATATTCATGGAAGACTTTGAGGAGAAAGCCCTGCTTAGTTCTCCCATAAATCCAAGGTTCTACAAGCGGTACGTGGACGACACTTTCACAATTCTACCTTTAGATAAAGTAACTGCATTTTTAGACCATCTTAACTCTATAAATTCTAAAATTCAGTTCACAATGGAGTTAGAGGCAAACAATTCCTTAGCTTTTCTAGATGTGTTAGTAATTCGGAATCCTGATAACACCTTGAGCCATACTGTGTATATAAAAAAGACCCATACAGATAGATATTTAAACGGTGATTCTCACCACCATCCTTCACAGTTAGCTACCGTGGGTAAATCTTTGTTTCAGAGAGCACGAGGGATCTGTGACAGTAAACACCTGGCTGCAGAGCTCCACCATGTCAAGCAAGTTTTGCATGACAACAAGCTTCGAGTCCCGCGCCTACGTCACAGTGAACGAGTGAAGCCGGCCACAGTCGAGCGTGTACCTGCTGTACTGCCATATGTTAGAGGAGTCACTGACAAGATTGGCTACATCTTGAAGCGCGCTTCCATCAAAACATACTTCAAGCCGCTGAAGAAGATTGGTCAGTTTTTACCATCGGTCAAGTGTAATGTCCCTCTGCAAGATGCAGGAGTGTACAAGCTTGATTGTGAATGTGGTCTCACCTACATAGGACAAACTAAAAGATCAATAAAAACCCGCGTTAAAGAACATATAGCTGATGTGAAGAATCGACGCTTCGGGAAGTCTGCAGTCTGTGAACACGTACAGGATCGCCCCCGTCACTACATCAGATTTTATAGACCGCAGATCCTCACTAAAGAACACCGATTCCTTCCAAGGATGATTCGCAAGGCTATTGAAATCAAAAAACATCTTAATTTCAATAGATAAGATGGCTGGGTGCTACCATCTGCTTGGATCCTATAATAAATAAAATTAAATCCCAACCCAAGCATACAACTGCAAGACTTCAAGATACCATAAGTTCATACTGCATAGATCGGAACAACAGTTAAATTTTAATCTATGGTAACCGCGGTTAACTATGACATATGGACGTTGAACATCTCAGTCCTGCCCGTGACCATGAGTGCTGTAAAGCGTTCGAAACGTCGGATAATTAAAAAGTTAAATACACGCGATAAATTCCGTAAAAACTAGTATTATTTCAATGTGTAGTGTTCGCGTAAATATAAGAAATTGTTAAGTTGGTAACTTCAAATAAAATTGTTTTGTCTCATTCATTTTCACAACAATTTCAACAAATTCATTCAATCAACAAATATTTCAGCGCTTTGATTAAAATTCTCCGAAAGGTGGAAGAAATATTACAGGGTATGATGATCTTAATTTTTTTTAATGCAAAAATAATTTGAATGTTTATTTACAAAAAACTTAACCCCACCACTTGATTTTTTTCTTGTATACAAACATAAATTGCACTAGAACAAACATACAGACATTGTTTGTATATATATATATATGTATGTATATATGTAATATATATATGTATATATATATATATATATATATATATATATATATGTATGTATGTATGTATAAGAATGTTTTTAAATGTCAATTTGGAATTATGGGGTGTGTTATAAGGCACTCCTCTGGATCGATCGAGTTTCCATGCAATGCTGTCCATGAAATCAATAGAGGAGATTTTTACTTTTCAAGTTATATTTTACATAATAAATGCTTATTCATCATCATTGTTTTATTATACAAGAGAGCGCAAACAAATATTCAGCTCACTTAGGTTGTGTCTACCACCGCCTATGAACTACTGCAACAGCAGAGAAATCGCTGATGCGTTATCGGCCTTTTAAAAAAAATTGGTTATTTTCTTGAATGTCTCTCAGTGCGAAAAAATTGCTTGTGATAGTCGATTCCACAAGGAAGTTGCGCGAGGAGGAAAACGTTTAATGAATCACACAGTGCTGGACCGCTAATCATCCAAATGTTATGTTAATAGTATCTAGAGTTTTTTTGCGATGTGCGCTGGTGAAATTTAGTGGCTGGAACGAACAATTATTGAAACGAAGTTCCTTATCGCGCGTTGCGAAAGGGGGCTAGACGGAATAAATTAAGACCAAAAGTTGTAACGACACTTTTTGCTATAGTTGTATATATATATATATATATATATATATATATATATATATGAACTTCGTTCCATCCGGGTGTCCCTTGACACCTCTCAAATTTTTTTGTGTACTTCTCTTGTTAGATGTGATAGAATATGCAATGAGATACAACATCTCTTCGCAGTGCCTGTGAGTCAAGCCGATCAAAAAGAACTCGGTCGTCAACGATTCGAGCTGCAAGCTGGATGCAATCAAGTGGAAGGAGATGACACGAGGGTGCACCGGTATAGAGATGAGAATAGTATCGGCATATGAGGCCGAAAATATACCTTGTAAAGTTGCAAGTGATATGATCTCGCTCTTTTAAAGCACGCAAAAATTTTTAGTGGCGAATTTTCCTTTTTTAGACGTCTACATGTCTTTGATTAACAATCAAAATGCAGATGCATTGGGTACCCTAATGTCTAAGAGAGAATGATTTGTTTTCTGTTAAAAAAAGATTTCCGTTTCTGTGCACTCACCATACAAAAAACAGCAACACTAAGCTGCTATTCTATGCTGGTATTCTTTGAGAGCGCGATCCTTCCTCGATCGAACCGACCCATTCGTACAACCATAACATAGGTGCAGTGTGGCACTACCACGTGTATAATCTTGTAACGACACCTACGGTGGATTGTGGGGTAGTGGATAATTTTACACCGCTCTGTCACCCTACTTTGAGCTCTACTTTAAATCAGTCATGAAATTTTAATTTGTTTATTGATATTACACTGACAACATGACATAATAGAAGAGTCTTAAGTTGTTAGTAGTTGTTACCAAAGTCAATTAAAGGCTATATATATCATAGACATAGAAAATTTATTATATAATAATATATAAACACTCACGCCTGTCACCCAGAGGGGTAGACAAAGACTACGGACTTCCATTTGGCACGATCATTATATAACTGCCTCGCCTCCCTTACATTCATATTACTACGCATACAAGCTCGTCAGTTAAAGGTACTTCTAATGTGACCCATTTTCATAATATCGTCAATTTGGTTGATAAACTTTCGTCTAGGGCGTCCCTTCCTGACTCTGCCGTTCACTTCTGCAACATATATTTGCTTTGTCAGTCTTTCCTTATTCATTCTTTCTACATGACCAAACCACCGAAGCATTCCTTTCTTAATCCTGGTCACAACATCATCTTGCATACCATATTTTTCTCTTATCAATCTCACCCTGTCATTCAGATTCAACCTTTTTTTTACGTGGGGAAATTCTCATGGA